CATGCCGGGCCCAGGTGCATGCATTGCCCAAGATTCTGATAGGAGAACGGAGGAGAAGGGATTGTGGCATGGCCATCCACTTTCTGTCTCTCTGTCTCTCTCTGTCTTTCTGGCAAGCACACGTGCCCTATAGCATAAACCTCTCCAAAAAAAAAAAAAGAAAAAGAAAAAAAAAAAAAGGAAATAGCCAGAATAGAGTATGAAACTAAATTGTGTTTCTTCTGGCTCCGGAGAGTCATTTATTCAGCTTTACTGATTGAACACCACCCCGTGCCTGCGACAGGTGCTCCTGTAGGACTGGAGTACTGTGGTAACAGTGTTGTAGGAGTACACAGCAGAGCTGTCCAGTCAAGGAGGTTCAAAAGGGTTACCAGAAGATGTAACTTCCGTCTCCATTCTTTCCTAGTCCTTCATTCTGCTTTCTCTTATGTTGTTCTTTATTTTCTTTTTAAGAATTATATTTATTATTTTAACTTTATTTATGTACGTATTTAAATTTGATCAGAGTGAGAGAGAGAAAGAGAAAGAGAGAGAAAGTCAGAAAGCAAGTCGCCAGGAGGTCCGGGACTCGAACCATGGTCAGCCATGTCAGAGTCCAGCAGCCTTAACCACCATGCCACTTGCCAGCTCCTCTCTTGTTTTTTTTGTTTGTTTGTTTGTTTGTTTTTTTTTTTTGGAGAGATTTTCACTGTAGGGCGCGTGCGCTCGCCAGACAGACAGAGAGAGACATAGAGACAGAAAGCGAGAAATCACCCCCCAGGGGGGATGGTCACGCCGCAATCCCTTCTCCTTCATTCTCCTCTCGGGACCTTGGGCACACACGCACATGCGCCCGGCTTGAGTTTTAAGCCACCGGGTCCGGGACACGAACTGCAGTCGACTACGTGGGAGTCCAGCGACATAGCCATTACGCTAACTGCTGGTTCCCTCTTGTTTTGTTCTAAGTAATTAAGTTAAGACTCTAAATTACTTGAAAACTCTTGAACGCACTCAATTACTATTTGGAGACAGAAACTTAGCTATGTAACACCTTACCTTAGATATTTTACTCGTCTTTGGGTTGTTTAGGGAGAACATGCACCAACAGAGGTGTTATGTAAGAGTGAGAGCCTCAGCATAATCCTGTTATGATACAGAAAGTTAGACTGAGGGTCACATCCTACATACCTACTCATTTATTTCTTAGAGTAAAAGCCTGGTGAGCAATATGTCATCCTGCAGGGCCGTGGGTTTTCCCGCTCCTTGCCCCCACCACTCCCTCATGCTTCAGCACCTCACTGCATATGACAAAGCAGTTTTGTCAGCAGTGAGAAAGCATCTTTTACTGTGAGTAGAGGGCTTCCCTGAGTTCCAGGTAGTGGCACATGGACAGGATTAGAGACCAAATAAAAATACCCAGTCTCACTCAGGTTACCTAGAAAGATTCTTGTTTTCATGCCAATAGCCTCTCCTTCATTTGTATCAGGTAAATGGGGATAGGGCAGGCTTCCTGCTAGATAGGGAACAAGCCTGGCTAAGAATACAGATGAATTAGGTTCTAGACTCAGTCCTACCACTTGGTCTTGAGTTAGCCAAGGAAACAGACTGCGCAGAGCTGCTTCTTACAAAAAGATTATGTAGCTCAGGTTCCTTTCCTTTCTGCATTAGGAGGCTGTGCAAATGACTGAAACTCATGCCCATAAAAGAAGTCTCCGTGTATTTTTAGAATTATTACTTAACTTGAGTTCTTTGTTTTTCAGCCTCTAAAGTATATGAGGTGTGGGCTGTCACTTGGGGAAATTTTTACATCATCCTGCATTGCTTTGGCAGGCAGATTTTCATCTGAGGACTTGGTGCAATACCAATTTGCCATTTAAGCTTGAAGCAGGTGTTGTTCAGAGGTTTTGAAACGAAAACACTTTTTAGACAAATTAGGGGTCCTTCTCTTGAAGGATTAGTCAGGCAAGCTCTTGCCCTTCTGTATACAATGTCTACATCCACCCACCCACTCTTCATGTAGGAAAAAGGTTAGAATAAACCAGAAAAGGAAATGATTAGGGATTCATAGGCAGCATGAAGCGATAAGACAGAGGCTGGGCACTAGAATGGCAATGGCATGGAAAACTGGGACAGGGGCACAGAGAGGGAGGAAACTTGGGAGAGAGTGTAGCCATGGACAAAAGAAATCTTTGACAAAATAGCTTTTGTTCTTTAATGTTTTATTTTTCCACTAAGAATATGTTGAAATACTTAGGTTGTGCTTGTAAGAAATGCTTTCTCTCTTTTCTATTCCTGAAACTAAGATGAAAGGGAAACAAGATTTCAGAGAGAAATGATGATCATTAAATTCGGAGGGATAGAAAAGTATCCTCACATTGCCATGTTTGTGTTCTTACTTTTATCTTTTGGGGAAAGTTCAAGCATCAAGCCTTGGCTGAGTGCATTGCTAATTCGCCAAGAGGTGGGAGTCAAAGTAAAACAGATCCTAATGATTAAGATTGTTATTATTTTTTGTTTACTTAGAGCCAGTGTTGTAGGTGCTTAGGATTAGGGGAAATGTAGGAGGAGAGATGTGGTTCAGTCCTTGTCATCAATCTGCTGTAACAACCGCATAGAAAACCCTCTGTGATTAATGACAAAATGAATGAAACTGTTGAGTGAGTGCACAGATAGTACAATATGTATTGAGTGGGCAAATGTTAAGTGAAGGGAAAAAACGCAAAACGTCATACCGTCTGTACAAGGATTTTCCTGTAGCAGTTGCATTGCAGTATAAAACTGCTTGGATGAAGATGCATTCCACTGAGAGGTAGGAAACCATTTTTATGTGACTAAAGCAAGATCTTCCTTAAAAGTGAACTTAGAAGTACTCCTGTTTTCGCTTTTTGCAATGTCATCTGATGTGGTTGGCGCAAGAGAGAAGCTAGGAAAAAAATGTCTTTGAGCTATGAAGTGCTTGTATGTTTTGGAAATATGATTATATGCATGTGTTTGTATTTTATGACTTGGATAATCTGAAAATCAATTTGCTTTGTCAATGCTTCCTGGATTAGAATTCCACTATTTGGTCCCTATCCTAGGTAAGACATTGTTTGCAAATTGTGCTACTTGTGAGATGTTGCAGTGGTTGCTAAGGCATTTAAGGTACTGATGAAAGTAAAATGGTTGTCATGGTGACTGATAAAAATAAATGTTGAAAATGCCCTTGGTTCTTTCTTTTCCAGTCTATTAAAGAAAATTGAGCGGGAAACATGGAGAGAAAGTGGCGTTTCGTTAATTGCTACTGTAACTCGTCTAATGGAGAGGTTGTTAGATTACAGGTAAGATGAATCCCATGTTTTTCAGATATGCTGTGCTCTAGTTAGAAAAGCAAACAGTTAGGAAACAATAAGTCGTTTGAACTAATCACTCAGGGAATTGATCATCGGACAGTGGAACCTGGTGCAGTGAGATAATGAACTTCAAACCAGCCCAGTACAGAGTTTTACATTGGAGCTTTTAATTCCCCCTTTCTGTTGTATTTTGGTTTGGGATAGTTCTTTCGAACTCTTGGTTAAATCAAGAAGATTCTCAGAGTCCAGTAGAATGCCGGAGGGAAAAGAGGGATTTTTTTTTTCTTTAATTTTTCTATTTAGATTTACCCGCTCGAACCAGTAAACCCCATCTGTTTTAGGAGAGGCAATGAAATAAGAAAACTGTAGAACAATGTTCTCTTTTAAAAAGTTGGGAGGTCAGGAAGAATTAAACTCACGCTGTCCTGTTGTATTTTTTAAAAATCTTTACAGTACCTAAACTGTTAAAGAGGTTCCTGCCAATTAAATGCATGCGATTTTGTTTTACTTTAAAAATAAAACTTTCATTCTCCTTGTTAGGTCAGGCTTACCAGGTACCTCTCACTCCACTTTAGAGAATATATAGTTACACACTTTCACCCCTCTTGCTTCCTGAGAGGGAGCCAAGTCTTGACCTGGAAGTAAAATTCCCAGCAGAAAAGCTCAGGAGTCTCTGATTCCCAGAGATGATCAGTCTCTGGAGCCCTCATCTGACTGAAATTTGCAAATAGCTTTTATTCCCTGAAGGTTTTTTGTTTTTGTTTTGTTTTGTTTTGTTTTGCATGAGCTAACAGTGTTTGTCCCTAAGAAGTTCAAAGTTCTGATTACTGACTTTTTCTTTTAGGGACTGCATGAAAATGGGAGAGGTAGATGGCAAGAAGATTGGCTGCACAGTTAGTCTTCTGGTTAGTAACCTATTTCCCTTCTCCTCCTTTTATCCTAACACTTGTGCTTTCATAGAAATACTTTGTCTTGTTCGTTTTTAAGCTGCAATGCGTTTTTATCTAGGTGTAGCTTATAAGAATTTTTTAGAAGTGTTTTTGAAAGAAGCATAGCGAGTTTCAGGTTACTTGAAAGCCCAGGAAATCCTCAGCTCTGAACATTGCAAAAGGCACCCACTGCCTTCCTGACAGCTGTGGTGGCAGGTCCTGCGGGAGTCTAGAGTCATGGCAGGTTTTCCTGTTGCATTGCTTTCCTCCTGGAACCTCTCATGGCTCCCTGAGGAAAAAGCAGAGTATCCCAAGATAGAAGTCCTTTTACTTCTCTGTCAGCACTTTCTTTTCATTTCTTATATCCATTCTACATTTTAATAAATATTAGTGATTTCTTCTTTTGTGAACAAATGACAGTTTTCTGTTTAACAAACTAATTTGTACTTTCTAGTTCCTTTGCAAATCAAATGCATAAAAACGTTGTTGAAGTTTTTATTATAACGAAGGTGACCATATCATTTATCATCCAAGCAGGACATATTTTAGAGTAAAATTTAACATCACATAAGGATAACAGGCTAAACTAGAACTATCCTGAGGAAACTGAAGTGTATAGAATATGTCACGTAACAGGAATATGAAGAGAGCAAAGGACTGACCATACATTTAGATACTTAATTTTCATATTTCGATGTAGGATAAGTGAATGCTTTTGGTAATTTCCTTTCATCAGATTTGAAATAACAGGAAGAGTAAGTGTTTCCTTGTCTAGATTTGTGAACATCATGGTTTCTTTTGCTTAAATTTTCAGAGCAGATGAAGCCTCAACAGCTATTCTAGGCCCTTATAAAGTTGTTTTTTTTCTTATTTAGATTTTTTAAAGGTTTTGCCATAGGATACAAGCGCTCACAGTAGAGAGAAAGAGAGAAGGAAAATGAGAAATCACTCCTCGGGAGAGGTATGGCCGCACTGCAATCCCTTCTCCTCCAGTTTCCTCTCAGGATTTTGGAAACACATGTGCCCAGTGTGATTTTGAAGTTACCCAGTCTGGAACTCAAACTGGGGTCAGCCATGTGGAAGTTCCTCACGTGCCATATTGTTCTCTATTTGCCTGAACCTTAAGGTTTTGTTTTGCTCCTACTTTGATTTGGTCATTGTCTTAGCTCGCTGGTTTCAGCCTTTTGGGTTTGTTTTGTTTATTCCTATCATGGTCCCTCTTTAAAGCGCAGGACTCTGCTTTCTTGGGACTGTCTTTTATCTGTTTTCCTAACTTCATTTTGCTGCACTGTTCTTCAGCTCTGAGTATATGACTATATCCTTCCCTATCGCACCCACCACTTCCTCCTCCTTTTTAATTTAATCATTGCATCTCCACCTCCAGTATCAGTTCCTAAAAATAGCAAGACCTGAGCACCCTCTGGGAGGCCACATCTTGCTCTCATATTATGCACTTTCTTCCATAATTTTTGTCATCAGACCCAGTCGTCATCTCCAGGCCAGGGGCCTAAGTTCCTCGGGTCAGCCCATTTACCTCTCTTCTTAGCACTCACTTATAACCTTGGATATAGTCATTTCCACTGTTACACCTCCTACCTGTGTTCCCTATTTTTTTTTTTTGCCCGTTTTTCCCAGTCTTTCATCAAGGTCAAAACCTCATTTTGAGTTTCTTCCATGTCCCTGCTTATGTGTCAGTGCTTGGGAGCAAACCCTATAAGTTGTAAGTCTTCCCAGTGTGTTTCTTTAACCCAGGCTTTACCTCACCTTCAGGCACAAAGTCTCATGACCTCAGAGCAAAGCTTTTACCTCTTTAGAATTGTCTTACATTATTTCCATCTTCTTTCATAAGTGCTTTCCATTTGGAAGTGAACACATACATGGAAACCCTAGATTTAATTTCTCAATTGGTACAAAAGAAGAGATTATTTCCTTGGATGAAATCAATTACTACTCTAAATACGTTTAGTCTGGTCTCCGAGTTGATAAGCCAGAGATTTCGAACTAATAGTCCCATCGCTAACCACTTGGGACAAACAATGTGTCCTGATAGTTTTGCATTGACCAAGAATAGCCTTTACAGAAATCTTAAAATTTTTAAAGCTGTTCTAACTTCTAACTGCCACAAGAATACTTTTTTTTTTTTTTTGAGAGGTTTTTGCTATAGGGCACTTGTGCTTGCCAGGAAGACAGAGAGAGAGAGACAAAAAGCGAGAAATCACACACCCCCCCTCCTCCCAGGAGAGATGGCCACGCCACAATCCCTTCTCCTCCATTCTCCTCTCGGAATCTTGGGCACACATGCACATGCGCCCGGCGTGAGTTTAAGGCACTGGGTCCAGGACTCGAACCATGGTCGACTACATGGGAGTCCAGCGACATAGCCATTACGCTAATCACTGGTCCCTAGAATACTTCTTAAAGAACTAAACATATCACTTTGAAACTCATCTTTTTAGCTTCTTTTCCATGTGAAAAGTTCTAGATGTTTTCTAGCAGTGATATGGTTCTCTTTAACTATATATTTAACTCTTTGGAAAGATCAATCCCACACTGTCTTTAGGAGAGTTCTGGTATACTTTATTGGATTAGAGTTAAACTCTTGTGTTAAACTGGTAAAAAAAATAATAATAATTGAAATGACTAATGCTAGGAAATTTAATTATTATTTGGTTCTCTACATTATGTATTTTACCAGTCATATGTGAAAGATTCTCATCTTCTGACTGGAGGGATTTTTTTTTAAGGAGAACTATTCATTTATAGAGTGATTGTTTATTTTCTTCTCAAAGAAAGCTATGTCTTTCCAGAAAGCTATTAGAGCAAATCATCCTTTAATAATGTAAAAACCTGCTGGGGGTTGTGAGACTTGTGTTTATAGTACAACAATTCTTGCTAATTAAAATGATTTTGGTTATAATAAGAGAGATGTGAATAGCATTATTTACTTAGCTTTTTAAAGAATGCCAAGATCTACAGGAGACAAAAAGAGAATGGGGGAGGATAATTGTATTAATTGAAAAAAAAATTCTTTATTATGCATTTGAGTTAATAACAGTGTCTCAAGGTTAGAAAACTTGAAGAATGGACCCATTAGGTAGTGAGCATGAAGTTCATTTGATGGAAGGACCTCAGGCTTTAAGTCCAAGAACAATTTTGATAGCCACATTGGCTAGTTTGGTCTATTACCAAAGCTTTTTGTAGCTAATCAACTTCAAAAGTTTTTAGATTTTCTGGCCTTTCTGTCTTTGAAAACCCTGGCACTCCTTCAAATCAAGAGATTTATCCCCCCGCATCACTAATTTTTCATTTTCCCACATACCAAGTAGCATCAGTCAAAACAGCAACAGTAAGTAATAATAGTAGTTCAGTGTTTTAAGCAGGGATTGCATAACATACAATGATCTGCTCACTAAAAGTGACTCATTTGAAGACTCACAGCTTCATGCTTTTGCTGGAATCCAATCTCATATACCTTTAAGTTCAGTGTGGACTACTCTAGAGTGGTGAGGGAGTAGATTTGGATGCTTTTAAGTGTGCCATTAAAATGCCAACAGAATGTATCCAGGTAAGTAAAAACCATGTTTTTTCCTTTGTCTTGTTTTTTCTTTTTAGAGATTTTTGCTATAGGCACATGCGCTCACTAGAGAGCCAGAGAAAGACACAGAGACAGAAAGTTAGAAATTACCTCTCAGCAGGGACACTACAATCCCTTCTCCTCCAGTTTCCTTTCAGGATTTTGGGCACACACGCACCCAGCATGAGTTTTAAGCCACCAACTCTGAGACTCAAACCATTGTCAACTACATGGGAGTTTAGCAACGTAACTATTACACCATCTGCAGATCACCCAAAACTGGGTTTTTGATAACTTACATTGAAACATTTTAAACAAGTTTAGTAAGATCCAGGTACTTCTTTATGGACAAAATATATTCAATAAAAATTTTTCTATAATAATAAATAAAGTCTCTTATTAGTCTTTTTATGTTTTTGATATAAACTGGAAACCTTTGGACTCCAGAAATGCAGATTCGTACCTTAACAATAAAGAACATTTTTATCTACCCACGTTCACATAATTCTTCAGAAAATAAGAATACTTCTGCATTGTTTACGCTCAGCATTACTATATGTCTTAGAGATTTTTTTTTCTTTTGGGACTTGATCTTTAAAATTTAAAATTACAGAAGCTATTCTTTGAATATGAATCACCACATTTAATAAATGGTTTTATCTGTTACATAGTTTTAATAGTTTTTAGTTGAATAGGCTGATTGTCCATTGACAGTTAAACTAAGAAAAAAATAATAGTAACAAGAAAAAGTGTGACTCAGTGGTAATAACCCAGGAATTGCCTTCTTTTCCAGTAATAGCTGGATAGCGTTCAACCCAGACAGTGTTGTATTGAAAATATGTCACTGGACCCCTTATTTATTTATTTATTAAGATTTTATTTATTTAGTTAGTTTGTTTTTTGCTATAGAGTATGAACACTCATCAGAGAGAGACAGAGAGCCAGACCGGGGGAAGGGGGGAATAAGAAATCACCCCTCAGAGGGGATAGGCATAGTGTAATAATCCCTTTTCTTCTCTTCTCCTCTTGGGATTTTGAGAGGGATATTTTTCAAGTCTCCAGGTCCAGGAGGGATCATGCCAAGTGGGATCCAGTGCTTTAACCACCATGCCACCTGCTGGCCCTGTATTTTAAAAGACATCTATATGGAAAAATGCATCAGTTCTCTTGACTCAAGACATGGAACTTCTAGTATAATAAAAGGTAGATGTGTGTAGCCTGGTTGTTAAGGAACTGTCCATAATTGCACTCTTTTACTTACAGAACTTCTATAAGACTGAGCTGAACAAGGAAGAGATGTATATACGCTACATTCACAAACTGTATGATCTCCATCTGAAAGCACAGAACTTTACAGGTAATTCTGTCTTTTCACTTAGACTGGGACCAGTCGGCTGGACACTGGTGTATTTAGCATGATCACTTCTCTTCTTTTTACATGCTGAGTTGAAGATTCAAGTATTTCTACTTTAAAATTGAGATTTATTTTTAAGTAGGTATTTGTTTATAAGTACTCCATATATATATATGTGGGTTTTTTTATTTGTTTGTTGGGTATTTTTTGTTTGCTTGTTTGTTTGTTTGGGTATTTTTTTAGGCTTTTGCCTTAAAGTGTGTGTGCTCACTAGAGACAGACACAGAGAGAGACAGAAAGAAGGAAAGTGAGAAATCACCCCCAGGGGGGATGGCCTTGCTTCAATGCATGGCCGTGCTTCAATACCCTCTCCTCCATTCTCCTCTCAGGATTTTGGGCATGCATGCACACACACACACACACACACACACACACACCAGGGCTGTTTTTCACTCTCCAGGTCTGAGACATGAACTGTGGTCAGTCATGTGGATATCTAGTACCTTAACCACCATGCCACTATTGACCCCTATTTGTGGGTTTTTTTTTTTTAACTCCATCTCTTTGCCTAATTTTTTAAAAGTTTGCCAGAGGGTTCACACACTTTTAATAAAGAGACAGAGAGAGAGAGAGAGAGAGCAAGAAAGTGCCCCCATAGGGAATGGTTACAATACAGTTCTATCTCTCACTCCCTTTGGGATTTTGGGCATGTATGTACATGTGCGTAGTGTGTTTCTCAAGCTGTAGGGTCCAGGACATAGTTGGCCATGTGGAATCTAGTTGCCATGCCCATCAGGCCATGGCTAGCCTGTATTTGCACAATTTTTTTTTTTTTTTTTTTTTAGTTTTTCCCATAGGTTACATGCATTCCAGATTTGGACAAATTGACTAAACACTGTTATTAAGCATGATCACTTCTTTGCTTTTTATATGCAGAGTTGAAGACTCTGAGAGACAGTAAAAAGGAAAGTGAGAAATCTTCCCCTGGAGTGTGGGAGGGAGGGGCAGGGATGGCCATGCTTCAATTCTTCTCCTGGAATTTTGGTCAACTTGCCCAATGTAAATTTCAGAGACTGGAATCATGGTCGGTCATGACAAGTTAAGTGCCTTAACCACCATACCACCTGCTGGCCCTGTGTCATACTATTGACATTGTAACAACTTTAAAAGTATAAAAATATTTTTGTTATTCAATTATATGCAATATCTGTTACTTTTTCTTCATTCATGAAGTTCTCAGTTTCCCTCTATTATCATTTTTATTCAACCTGAAGAACTTATTTAAGTATTTCTTTTAAAGTACATCTAGTGGCGAAGAATTTTATTAGTTTTCCTTCATATGAAGATGTCTTTTTTTTTTTTTTTTGAGAGGTTTCTGCTATAGGGCGCATGCACTCGCCAGACAGACAGAGACATAGAGACAGAAAGCGAGAAATCACCCCCCCAGGGGGGATAGTCACGCCACAATCCCTTCTCCTCCATTCTCCTCTGGGATCTTGGGCACACACGCACATGTGCCCAGTGTGAATTCTAAGCCACCGGGTCCGGGACTTGAACCGTGGTTGACTACGTGGGAGTCCAGCGACATAGCCATTACGCTAACTGCTGGTTCCCTCTTCTATCCATTTTCAGATCAGATGATTTCTACTGATATATCTTCAAGTTCCCAGATTCCCTTGTCATCTTCATTTGGCTATTGAACTAGCCCAGTGAAAAATTTATTTTAGGGATTGTATTATTCAGTTCTAAATTTTCTACTTGATTGTTTTCTTTTTATAGCTTTAATTTCTTTGCAAAGAACGTCTATCTCTTTATTCATTCAAGAGTGCCCACTTGTACTTTATGGTGCATGGTTATAATAACTGCTTCTTAGAATGTCTGTAATTCTACATTTGAGTCATCTCGGGGTAGGCATCTGTTAATTGCCTTTTTCTTTTAATCATTTTGTAGTTTTCTTGCTTCTTTGAATGTCAAATAATTTTGATTTATATCCCAGACCTTTTCAATGTTATGAGAGCCTGGATTCTGTTCAAATCTTCTCGGGTATGTTGACTTTTTGTTTTAAGGGACAGTTCAGTTAGGTTCAAACCTTAAGTCCTGAACCACCTTCTGAAGGTTGTGATCCTCAGGTTAGCTTAGTTTCAAGACCTTTGCACTGCTATTCTGATCTTTTCTGCATGTGTGCCACTCGAGGGGATGTCTGGGACCTGGGCAGTGATCTCCACTATATTTTCAATTCTTTAAGTCTTGATGATGTTGTTGATGGTCTCTTCTACACATGTACTCTCTAGAGATGAGTCCATGACTTCATATATAAAATTAAAATATCTCTTTATTGAACTTCCTTCTCTCTGTGATCTTCCCTCTCCTAGGGACTCCCTTCCTAGAACTCTGGCTAAAATCCAAGGCTTGATCTTCTGTATGCTATGATGCACTCCCTATAATTGATCTTTTTGAGGCAAAGCAGTCACAGAAAAGAGCCTATGGGACCCCCTGCTACTTCTACCATCTCCACCATTCAAGTTCGCAGCTTTGTTCCTGGGCAGACTTAGAGTGAGGCCAAGAAAGTCTAAAGAGCTCTGTCCCACAAGAGGTTCTCTTTTTAGTTCTCTGACTAGGTCTCTTTCTATCTGTTCCTATTGCAGTCCCAGGAGATGAGGAAGTGCAAGCCAAGTGATGCTGAAAGAAAAAATAAAAACAGAGCACTTGATTCTGTGTGCTCATTCCTCCAGTATTATTTGTTTTTTCTATTCAGTCTCCCTGCTCTTATTTATTTTTCAGAGTGGTTCGATGGTGGTTTTTATATATGCTCTTCAGGGCGTTTGACTGAAATTAGTGAGAAAGACTAAGTGGAGAAGATAAGGTAGAATGTGCTCACTCCAGCTTAAACAGAACCTTTTCATTGGTTTTAAGAACTACAAATTTTGTGGGTTTTGTTTTTTTTTTTACCACATTGTTCTTCCAAGGACTTCTTGAATCACAGCCCCTCCCTTAGTTTAAAAGAGTAAAGGAATCCTTTATGAAATGATACTTCTGTTTCCAGAATTTAAACATGCCTCTAGCAGTAAATCCTCTGTATCCATTAATAGCATTGCTATTTATTCAGTCTGGAGAATTTGTTATCTTTGACTCTTGTTCACTGCCCTCAGGTAATCATTCATCAAGTTCTATTCATTCTGTTTTGTAAAAATCTCTCAAAATCATTTCTTTGTCAGTGCTCTCACTTTCATGACCTCAATTAATTCTTCATTATCTCTCACCTGGACTCTGTCTTAACTGCACCAAAATTATTCTTTAGAACAGGGTCCACAAACTATAACCTGCAGACTTATCACCTGATTTTGTAAAAGAAGTTTTGTTAGAACTCAGGCACAGGCCAACTGGTGGTGGGGTGGTTGAAGCAGCTGGATCCTACATGGTCAGTCAAGTGGTTTGAGTCCCAGACCCAGGGATTTGAAAAACATACCACGCATTTGTACATGTATGCCCAAAATCCCAAGAAGAGAATGGAGGAGAGGGCATTGTGAATGGTCATCTCCCCAGTGGTGTTTTTCTTCTCTCTTGCTCTGTCTCTCTGTCTCTCTATCTCTCTCAAGCAAGCACATACCCCCTGTAGCACATTAAAAGAAAGAAAAAGAAAAAAGAATTCAGTTGCACCCAATCACTTATGTCTTATCTAGGACCACTTTGATATTACATTGCCAGAACTGAGTAGTTGAGACAAAAACTGCATGGTCCACAAGGCTAAATTATTTGCTGTCTGGCCCCTCAGGAAAAAGTTTGTGAACCCTTTTTCTAACTATAACTGTTATTGATTTGTGTAGTCTACAGAACAAATTTCAGTCTTTATCTGGGTCTGACATTGTTTGACCACTATTTGTCTTTTCAATCTTGTCTTCCCACTTTACCACATACCTTGCTTTCATTCTTCAGTTTCAGCTCCTGTTTTCATCTTTTCTCTGGGGTCTTTTCCCTCCTAGAGTTCTTCTCTTCTCTTTACCTCATGAGCTCCATGCCCAACCACCCGTCTTCTATGGACCATCATCTTTCCATCTCATTTTGTTTCTATTACATCTTTTTCCGTATTTCCAGTAAGCATTTATCACATTGTTTTTATTAGTAGTTATATGTTATGTAACAATTGTGTGTATATTTTGTATATGTGCTCATGTATTTACATGTATGTATGTATATGTGTTGGTAGATAGGGACATAGGTAAGTAGATGGATGGATGGATAGACAGACAGACAGACCATCAGCAGAAGGGTAATTGTAGGTTAAGGATATGTTCCAGAAGGCTGGAGCTGCTGTCTTGTCCTCAGTCTTCTCAGTTCTCCAACTAGTATGGAGCAATGTGAGATTTAAAAAAACATATCACCAGTGGATGTTCCCATTAATCCAATTTTAACACCTAGTAAGCAGATTTTCTCCTCCAATATTGGTAATTTTTGAATCACTAAGGAAACAATCTAGTAGAGTTTTATTTTAAAGCCCATAAAAAAAGAAATGAGAGAGGGAACTGAGGACAAGCTATTCCAGATATGTAACTGATATATTTTAGTTCTCTGAAACAAAGTCCAAATTTGTCTGTGATTATATCTCAGAAATGAGCAAATCTTTTTTCTTTAATTTGTTTACTCAACTTGCAGTGTCTATGTTCCCCAACGTTGTAAGAAATAAGTTGTTTCTCCTAAGATAACATTTTATTTTCTCGTATGTCTTCCTTTTTGTGTGTCCCTGGAGAAAGTGAAACTGATGGAAAAACTTCTCAATCATTACAGTACTCCTCCTAAATGATTTAACCCTTTCCAGTCTTTCATGGCCGTGTTCTCCGTTTCTAATTCATCCCCACTTTTCTCCTGTTACGTATTTTTGCAGATTGGTGCCCTCACTATACACATCTCAAAATGATGAAATAAAATGGTCCATATTTAATTATGGGGTGGTGCCTTTTGTTCAAAATTATACTTTTTTTTTTTTAAATTGCCAGACGACATGTGTG